GCCGAGAAGAGGAAGAGGGCAAGGCTGCGGTGCAGGAGTAGGCCAAACTGCCGAGGGGTTAGAAGACTTGGCCAACTGCTTCACCCTGCGGTGTCCCAGGCGCCTCCCCGTCTAGGCTTTGGCTATAGGCCGGGGTCGGCGGATATTTGTGTTTCATCAGAATCAGTAGAACATTGCTTGGCTGGGAGGCCATTGCCGAGACTTCTAAGCTACTGTAGCAGTGTGTAGCCTGCCTTCGTGCATCTTGTAGGCAGCGCGGCTGGTACCAGGAAGTCAAGTGGCCAGCCACTACAAGACAAAGGACCTGAGCCAACCGAATTGATCCATTGGGACCACGTGCTTCGCATGTGCTTGTCATCCAACATATCCCAAAACATGTGTTGGACGATGGATTTCACAGGCCCAACCTTGGATTGAAGACAAGATGTTGGTGGAAAGAAGTCAACAGGTTTGTGCTCACAGAGGAATAACATGTTTGTGCAAAACACATGGGTAGGTTGATGTGCAGTAGGTGTCGGAGCTGCATACACAAATCATGTTCTTGTGATTCATGTCACAGATTCTACGAACTTAAGACGTGCTCCTGAACAGATGATAGATGTTGAGTCGTTGTTAAATCTTTTCCGGAAGTCTGAGTAGAGAAAGGAGTTCTAGTTACTATCGGATACCATATACTTACTGACTGTATGTTTAGGGACAATACAGTTGTCCTAGTATAGATAGTATAGCCTAGATTCCTAGATGTCCCAAACCTGCCAGCACCTGGAGGTGTTTTCAACCGCACATTTGCCAGGATGCGTTGCGAAGCGCCAGGACCCCAGTGGATTCAGACAGCTGGACAGCGTCATGGAGACAGCGTCATTCAGGTCCAACTACCTGCCAGTGACCCTATGATATATAGTATATTCATATATATATAATTGTACATACATATATAGTTATACATATATATGTATCCGTGTATATGTATATATAGTTGTATGTTTTATTTATATAGACACACAGGTTCCCAGGAAGATCGGGCAGGCCTTGACCAGTTCGAGGCATTGGTATGGGCAGGTGTGATGTGAGCTAGTGCTATGTATGCTCTCATGTTTTTGTTGTTATAGTGCCTAAGCAAGCCTTTTTGCATATTTGTTCGTAAGGCATCGATACCTAAAGTATCCTAAAGATGAGCTTGAAAAGGACCTGAATGTCATGTGTATGGTATATATAAAGGGACCGTGTGAAGTCATGCTTTTGAGTTGGCAAAACAGTTCTGTGAACACCACCTGCAAAGCGACAGAGTTCCCGGAGAGTGTATTAATAAATATACAAGCGGAACAAACTTACAATCGGCAGAGAAACATGGTCTTCCAGTGGCCCATGCTATCCTGTGTATCCACTATCCACCTTGCGTTTATAGAGAAGAAGGGTATCCTAATGTATCCTGAAATTGAGTAGAATTGATACGCTTCTCACGAGGGATAAACCATCAATTTTAATTCAGGTATCCTTCCATCCCAGCTGAACATCGCCTCTCAAGGCAAAGCCGAGCATTGCCACCGTGCGTGGCTTGGGACCCCAGTCCGCCGGTTGGCGTCGGATGCCGATGGAGTCCGGGCGGACCTGATGTTTGAAAACGTACCAACTTCGGATCCAAAAGGCTCATGCAGCTTTTGCAGCACGCCTTGATGCTAGGTTTTTGCTTGGCAGGCTAGAACTCTTGTAATACATGTCAAGTCCAGGTAAAACCCGGCGCTGTTGGCCACATGAAAGGTTATCATAGAAAATCAATCACCCTTTGCAAGGGGTTCTCATTTTCTTGATGTTTTGCGAACCGTTCTGCTATTATGTGTTCATGTTGTGTTTTGTTTTTGGGTGTGCGCAGAGGACAAAGTACTCTTGCAATGGTCCTACTTCTACATAAATGTACGCTTGTGCGTCCTTGTGCCGAGGTCATCATCCCATTGATGAGCCATAGCATGGCTGCATGGTACTTGGGGCCTCTTCGAACTTGACGAAACAGTCGAAGCGGTCGGTGAGGTATGAAGAAGGGCCAAGCGGCACTAGAGTTTGAAGAAGCTAGTGGCAAGGCAGGTGGGGCGCTGGGATGGGAGCGTTTCTCTTCTTTCGGGAGCTAGACCAAATGCATCCCAACAAATGTTTGAGGAGTCCAAACTTGTTCGGTAAATGATGTGTTTCAGAATACAAGACCTGATCAAAAACCTTCAAGGTGTTCCAATTGCTGAACCAAAGTTGTTCAAAGACTCAATGACGATACGGACGGGGCCTTGTTGCCGATCAAATCCTGAAAAAGTAGCACTTTCAACTGACCTGTCCCAGTGAAGTGCTTTAAGTCTGTAAGTGCAGGAATTGGAGCAGAAGCTTTGTGGATTTCACCCAGTGGCGAAGTAGGATATCCAATTAAAGTAGAGTAGGATTTGCATGGCTGGCTGTCCAGGCTCTAAACCACGAAAAGGTATGGTCATTTGAAAAAGACCAAGTTATATATAATTTGTATAGGAGTCACACAGTCACACTTGAACTCTTTGAAGGCTCGCAGCAGAGCTGGATGTTTGACTGTGTATGCTTGATCTTGGGGCTCGGAAGCATGACTTGCTTGCATTCAAAGGAGGTATTTCTTTAAGAGCCCGGGGCCTGCCTCGTTGCTTATATCAAGAAGGCGCCTAATTATATAATCGTCTTAGTCTCAATTAAGTAAGGGAGTAAACACGATACTAGGAAGCTCCTACATATGGACGCAGAATAGCTTACGCTTCTTCGAGGAAGCTCTCTCCCTGAGAGCGGGGGGAGCTTCCTTGCAGAAGCGCTCGCACTGATGATTTGGTTCTTAGATTTTCAGGGTCTGCCACAAGTGGAGCGCTGGGATGTAAGCATGCAACATGACGCTTCTGACTTCACGATTCCCGTGTTGCCCCATGTTAGCTTTCGATGTTTCTGGAGAGATGTTTCTGCTCGACATGTCCACCTGTAGTGCTATATAGGGATGAGGGCGCCTTCTCAAGATGTTCAATATTCACGCTTTAGTGACAGTTTCTGTTCATGTCTCAGATCTTTGTTTTTGAAAATGTTAGCAAAATTCAAGTGTCCTGGCGAAACTCGCACTTTTTTTTCCTACTTTTGAGTCGTTTGTTGCTCTGCACATTCAACGACTCCATGACCACGTTTGAGGCACATCGGCAGTTGGTGCCCGTGGATTGGGTCGTCGGCGCGCACGGGCAGCTCAAAAGGGACGTTGGGTACTTGACCCTCCGGGCTTGCAGGAGGGTTCAGGATCTTGGAATGGCTTACAACTACTCAGGAACCGAATGAGTTTTATAAGTGGAGTTCAATTTTTTGAGCACTGGCTGCACAGACGAGCGCCCACCACATCGGACTACTTTTCCCCGTGCAATTGACATCACTGACTCTTTGCATCGGTGGCATTTGTGCAACTCGTTTTTCTTCAAGATAGTGGTTGTCACAAGACAGATACACTTTGCTGTACCCTGTTCCTCGTTTGGAAGAAATTGAATGATCTCAATTACTTCAGCAGATTCCTTGAGTATGTCTCGTCCACATAGGACATAGGTTGAAGCCTATGTAACAGGTGGGGCCCATTTCAGGAAATCCTGTAGGCTGCTACTGGTATTTAGTTTGGGATAGTCTCGGAAGCTTTGGTTGGTTAGGTCCTCGCATCAGCCTCCGTCAGCCGCATTTTTGGGCTCTAAACAAAACGGGTGTTTCGGAACTTCTACCTCAAGGGGTCCTTGAGAAACACCCTAATTCGTGTTCACCTCCTATTTCCCTCAACATCTCCGGGTTGCTTGATGTCCCTTCTTGCCTCGCCCTCCTGCGCCTAGGCCCGAACCACCGCCCCGCAGGCCATTCGGCCCGAACACGGATCCGTCGAGATCGGAGTCACCCCAGCTCAGGCGGTCCCAACAATAGGACACAATAAGCGTCCGATCGCTCCGTTCGTAGCGATGCCAGGAGCCCCGTTCGTAGCGTCCTTGCTCCTAGTAGTACGGCCAGGAGCCCCTAGTAGCGAACATTGTTCCTAGAAATAACACAAAAGAACATCATGTTCCAATTAGCGATGGCCTCCAACCTAAGAGCCATGGGTGGATGAAGTCCTTCACCACTTGGGAACTCAAACGTAAGCGCTTTCGTCGCTTTCTCTTTCGTACCGTGGCCCCAGGCGATGGCAGGGCCCTGCATTGCCACAAGCTGTGGTCTTGGTGCCCACACGTGAGTTATGTGAGCAGGTGGGTTCGATGCGATGGTGGGGGGCGGGCGATGCCGCTTCGCATGTTTGGGGTCTCGAGCGAAACCGTGTTTGCCGGCTTTTTCTGGTTCTTCAGACGTTTCAGATGTCAAGGTTCTTCATGTCCTTTGTGGGCATGACCGTGCGCCTGCAGATGTTCTACATGGTAGCAAGCCAACACCAGGGAGTAGACGTTTATTACATAAGAACCGCAAACAAAAACACGCAAAGCTCAGGGAAGCAAGAGTAGGCTTCACCAGCCAATGGAATTTTGACTTTATGTTCGATCGCCCCTAAACATTCTGAATGTAGGAGAACGCGTCCTTTCACTTGTGAGGGGTGAGTAAGCAATCCAACTTTGAACTCGCTCAGGGAGAAGCAAACAGCCCTGAGGTCGAGCATGGTCCAGCTAATGATATATACTATATACTCACAATGAGGGATGCTTTGTGGGTAATTGCATTGCACGTCAACTAATTCACACTGGAACCCATCCTGAATCAAGCCAACATCATATATTCTCAACACATTTTCCACGATCATTGTGCGCCCCCTGGAAAGCCTCTATGACCATCTCAATGTATGTGTTTGGCACAATGGACCTTGGAGAGGACCATGACTTGGGCGCGCCTTGGGCAGGTGAATTTGGAGACCAAGGAGTTCCTCTTCTACTCATCACTTCGGAGCGCCCCTTGGGCAAGTGCCAACTGTTGGGGGGAAGTATGGGGAGGTCCAAGGCTGCAGATGAGACTTGCAGCTTGCAGGACCCAACCAATCAGGCCTGAAGAACACCATGAAGTGTCAGTTTCCTCTTGAGCTATCCATTCCTAAGCTGAAACACATTCCAAAGGTCGTGCACGATGGGTCAACCTGAAGCCCTGTGGCTTTGATGCTGATGATGCTGGTCCTCAATGGTGATTTCTGTGAACTTGGTTGAACAAGAGCATTGGCTGAATGGCCTAGATTCCGTCCAGAATAAAACTTGTGAACAATCCACTCATTGGCCATTCCACGTTTCCAGAAACCCCTTGTGATCCCATCACGATTTGCACAAGCATGTGTGTGTTGATTTGTGATGTCCTTGAAGTGTTTTAGCTTTGTTAGTAGCTTCTTGTTACTAGTAGTAATGCCCCTGTTACTAGGAGCAGGGAGATTGTGCTTGTTGGTAGCTGATGGCGCCAAGTTGTTGTCCTCGAGTCGAAGAAGGATGGGGGCCAACAGAAGGGTTCTGCAGGACCATGCGAGGGCTCAGTGCTGAGTACTTGGGTTTGGCATTGAGGGACATATTGGACCATCAACTTCTTCCCTGGGTATCTAATCAATTCTGTGTGATTAAAAGGATTCTCCCCTAAAATCTAAAATGATTCATGCTTTTTAGTGTAGAATCCTGGGTATCAACCTTAGCTGTCGATAGCCAGGGGTGATCTTTTTCAGCATCCGAATTTCAATGCTTTGCTGTAGAAATAACGCTTCGAACCAGGTCGCTCAAGTCCTGTCACTGCACATGTTTCTTTTTTTCTACACCTGCAACTGAAAGTACTAAACTGGGTGGTGGTTTCTGTTTCTTTATATGTTTAACCTTTACTAGGATGATCCCACTGACAAACATTTTCAAGCAATAGATGATGCCAATCGCCTAGTTTTCGTATGTTTTCGTGCCTCTAGGAACTCTTCAGGGCTTTGCAGCAGCAATGCTGCGATACTCAAGCACATGCCAAACCATGGCGATTTCAATGATCTGGGAATCTGGGCCACTGAGCATCAATGAAAAGAATTACATAATATAACAGACCTCGTGTTTCCTGAGACCAACCCTGCGCTCCCCCTTGTGCCAACTCCGCTCCCAGGTGGCCCTCTTTGGCGACGCGCAGCTGCGGTCGCAGTTTCGCAGCTTGGCGAAGCGAAGACATAGAAGCAGATCATGGGTTGACCACCAAAAATGAACCTATCCTGGTCGAGGTCAACCTATCCTGGTTTGGGGATACATCTATATGGTTTCAGGGTTTAGGGTTTAGGGATGTTCAGGGGAGGAAAAGGTGGATGCAGTATGGACCCCACCCGCCCCGTCTTGTTGGATGTCATTCATTTTATACTTAGATTTATCAGAGAGGTTCTGAAGAGAGGTTCTGAAGCAAATGCAGGTGTCATCTTCAGGTGTGTCAATGGCAGTTGTTGCTCCCTGTTGTTTTTGTTGGTAGGTTATTCCATGTGCTTCGGAGGCTGCCTTTGGCAGATGTGCTTTGCACTGAATTGATCATCTTAAATTTGCCGTCATATGCAACAACCAACAGGCTGCGAGCTGGGACCTTACAGCCTAAAGTCGCTGGCGAGACCCATTCACAACGAGGTCACTGACCATCAAACCCAAGTTCACGGCTTGCCACAACTACGGTGGTTCAAATCATTCGAGGTTGGGGTGTGTGCGTCGGGCAGTTTGCGATCCCTGAGACAGGCACGCTCCATTGAAGATGTTCTTCCCAATGTTCTAGTCTACCAGACATTACTAGACCATAAGTATAAAGAAACACTGTCATTTTCATTGACCAGATTGCTGTGTACCACTGTACCACCAAACGGAGTTTAACATAGAGCATGCGAGGGTGTGAGTGATCATGGAACACTCTGTTCTTTTACCCCGTGAAGGTTGATCAAGTTTTGGTTTGCATCCAGGGAAGCAGCCGAAACGAGTTCATAGTAGGTCTATTCCAAGAGCTGAGCAGGCACTATCCTGAAGGTACCCCAAGCGAAAGCAGTCCGAGAGTCAACAATGGATTACATCAAATTCACGCCACAATGGATCTTTTCAATTTGAGCAAGGTCGGTTGAAAGCTTAAAAGACACAGATTGGTTGCATGCCCATGTTTGGGCCTTGCAGTAGATATATTTAACTATAAATATAGATATATATATATAGAGAGAGAGATTATAGAGGTATGTGGACACTGACGCAGTGCCAGTTTTGGCCCTTTTGTGAGTGACTGTGGTCGGTGGTCGTCCTGAAGGTTGCAGTTGCAGTTGGTGTTGGCGTGGTCGTTGTTGCTGTGTTGGTAGTCGTGGTTGCTAGAGTTGGGGCTGTCAGAGTGGGCGCTGCTTGTTGGTTGTTGGCTGCTGATAGAGTTGGTGATTCCTGCATTTGAAGATGCGACTTGGACAAGGATGGCAAGGTATGTTTTCTGGGAATTCGTGTGAAAATGCAATTCATTCTTGAATCGCCAGTGTCGCATGATGATACAGCGAAGGTTGCCCCTTTTGTGGCAAGAGCCCGTCAGAGGGTTGTGACTGTAAAGCACACTTGATCGCTGAGACTCCTTCAAATGGTGCGAGACATTGATTGTTCAAATTCTGTGCGTGTGTGCTGTGTGTTTCCTTTCTTGCTCCAATGCCAGTTATTAGTCGAGTGGAAGCCTCCACGTTTGAGCGGGCTGGCTGTAGTTTTTCTGTCTATGTGGAATGAGGTTGATGTTCACATCGGTTTGACTGGGTCCATATATTTGATTATATTTGATTCTAATTCTATTTATTTGCCTGGTTGCTCCTGTGCTGCTTCAGCAGTGATCAAAGTTGCAAAACCTAGCTGAATAAGTCCTTTTGTCGGAGATAAGTTTTTGCCTTCTTGTTCTCAAGTGTTTTCAATATGTTTGTCGATTCTCTAGGTTAGTCTGTCAATTGTTTTCTTCATTAATTGCTGTAACAGACCACCAATTCTCATGCATTTCACTTCCTTGAATCTTTGACTTGGATATGTCAAGGAAATTTGTAGTGCAATACTGCAAAGCCTGATGTGTTTGAGATGTGTTTGAGTTGGATTTGGAATGCTGTCGCGTGATGACACAGTGAGGGTTGCCCCTTTGCGGCAAGAGCCTTTCCAAGGGCGATGACTGTGAATCACACTTGATCGCTGAGACAGCCCCCAGTAGCGTCCTTGTTCCTGGTAGTAAGGCCAGGAGCCCCTAGTAGCGTCCTTGCTCCTAGTAGCGATGCCCTTGATACTAGTAGCTTCTTGTTTGTTTGCTTACATGGCCTAACTTGTCCGGCGTTGTCTTAAAGAATTGTTGGTCCTGGAAATGTATTAAAACAGGGACGAGTCCCTTTACATGCCTTTAGTGTTCTCCCAAGAGCTACTTTGGCCGCGCCAAACATTCTTGGGTCGCTTGGAGTTTCCACAGGGAGTTTTTTGATGTTCCACAGATTCGTCAGAAATTTGGTGCCCGTGCTCGAGAATTTGCTGAGGTGACCTCGCCCATGGATCCGACATATTGGTCTTATCCCAAGAGAGCTTGACTGAGTTCCTTGTTGGGAGGCCTCCTGTGAAGCGATAACTGTTACCATGATGTTTTTTTGGAGAACACAATACCTTGCACACTCTTAAGTGCTGATGCGCGGCACACTACCTTGCTCCTTGCAATTCTTTTATTTGTTGGTTATTCTCGGCCCTTTAACACCCAACCAGTGCAGAAAATCCGTTGGGGCATGGTCAAGTCCAAGAATATGCTCTGGAGGTAGCATACGTAGGTAATTAATCAGGCAGAACATGCTCGGGAGACTCCAGAAACTACTAGTTAAAGCGGTGCCGTGTAATGAGTTAACGATGCAGTTGTTTGGAATTGAAAAATAGGCATAGCTGTCCGATCCTGAAGAAGTCATACTTCCAGCTTCTCCCATTACACTTCCAAGAATTTGAATCGAATCAAGTTTGGGATTTCGAGTCGCGCACAGATCTCCACAGCACTCACTGCCGACAGATCTCCACCCCGGGCCGCTTGGTTGACGCCTTGCACAAGGGTTTGGTGCGATTAGACAAGGCCCGGCTCCATAGGGCTTTGCTGCGCGCCGTTTGTTTTGTGTCGCGCCAGAGACTGAAGGATGAAGATTTGCATGGATTTTGTGAGAACACCTGCATGACACTGTCCAGTCTGTGTTTGTGACCACCTTGCAATGTGTTGATACTGTTGACAATTGACACCATTATCTAATATATATATATATATATTATACCTGCAACTTTTTCCAGAACCAAAAATCAGTAAGACATAGTAAGACATCAAAATCACCCAGAATCTTGGAATACATTTATATTACATATTGTGGTCCTTTTGACGTACACACTTTTGCAATCAAACGGCAATTCTTTCGGGCCTCAATTGGGCTATTTGCAAAGGAACGCTCTATGACTCTATGGAAACACGTTCCTGTTCCTGGTTATATACTTCAGGTGCACCAAGGTTTGTGTGTGTTTGTGGGGCAGGGGCACTAGCCCCAGTGACTGCAATGAGCTATGTGATTGACAGAAGGACTTTTGGCAGCTCAACACCTAGTATGCCCTTTTTCATGCGTTTTGATGATCCGCTCAAACTCAGTCAGTTTTGAACTCGAAATCTGGGACTTTCGCCGTTCGGATCCATTCGGAGCTGAATTGGGCTTCAGGTCCGTTTCCTGGTGCTGGATGAGGTGGACCGGATGATGGAACTAGGCGTGGGAGTTGGACGAGGACTTGGGAAGATCAGAAAAGGGCGCTGCGGTACAGGGACATGTATATATATATATAAGTGCATACATACATTCCATTCCATTGCAATGCATTGCATTACATTACATCATACATTAAATTACAGTTACAATCAGTTACAGTTACAGTTACATACATACATACATACATACAGTTACCTACAGTTACCTACAGTTACATATAGTTACCTACAGTTACATACAGTTACATACAGTTACATACATACATACATACATACATACATACATACATACATACATAC